GACGCACAGGGGAGCCTGCTCTGAATGTTAAAGGGAATTCCTCCTAGAACAATGCATCCTGTGAAGGGCAAGGTCAATCAAGAAGGGAAAAAAAAAAATTCAATTCCATCCTCACAAAGGCAGGTGAGGGCTGCGTCATATCGGTAGCAAGCTGTTAATTAGGAATATATTCTGCAAAAAGGGCCCACGCTCAGTGCGCCGGCATGCCTTAAGTCAGCGCTTTAAAGGCAATAAAGTTAATTTGAAAATATATTCATTGAGTCACAATGAGGGAACGAAAACAGTATTTTCTCAAAATTTCATTCAATTGATGAAACACGAAGAGGCTATTTTATTAGTCACCAGTTTTAATGCTCTGTATATCAACTCAGTTAAAGAAACCTTGTTTTTTTTTTTTTAATCCTCAATCAAGCTCCTCATGCGTCTAGCAAGATCTAATTTGCTTAAATGAGGAAAATGATTTTTTTTTTCTGTATATGGACCTCACTTACACGGGAGACCATTTCTTAGTCACCATTACCTGGGTCCACACTTTGGATCTTTCTTGCCTTGCCTTGAGAGTGAGCCATAGGTTGCTTTACCCACCAGGGCTCAAGATCAGAGGTGGGTATTTGGGAAGAGGAGTGAGTGAGGTCACACATGGAAGTGGAAGAGTAGAAGGAGCAAAGTCAGCCAATTAACGAACACCCTTTTGTTAAGCACTTGCTGTGTGCATAGAATCATGGGATACAGAAGCATGAACCAGAGTGCGTGCCCCCAGTTGGCTTTTAGGGAAAACAGTGTCAGTGAGTAGCAGGTTAGCTCGGGAGAGAAGGGATCGTGCCTATCTTGTTTGTGGCTGTGTGCTTGGTGCCTTGAATAATGCATGACACTAAAAAAAAAAAAAATGTTATTCGAATGACCAAATGTGAAAAACATGGAGGGCAATGGTGTTCAGGAAAAGGAGACATTGGTTTGGGCTCAGGAGCCAGAGCATGTGCGGGAGGGGCACGTGCCCTGAGCTTGCAAGTCCCCGTGCCTGGATCATGCTGTCTGCCTCCCTGCTTTTCTTTGCCTGCCAAATTCATCTAGCACTTCAAAGTTCTCTTTGCATTTTCTCCAAGTTATCTTCCTTGATCTTGAAGCCAAAAGAGATCTTCCACTCTTTGCACTCCAGTAGTGCTTTATTGTAACTAGTAATAGGCATTTATAAGGCATTTCTCATACATTTCAATGGAGGGTAGTCGGGAGAAACGAGCTGGACTCTTTTTGAAAACATCCCGTTTAATTTTTACAATAACCTCAGGGGGAAAGAACTATTATTATCTTCTCTTTACAGCAGTAGATACAGGCACAGGAAGGCTGAGGGACTTCCCAAAGAGCCCAGAGCTGGTACGAGGTGGTCCCAAGTGGACTCAGGTCTACTGGCTCCAAGTCCCAGTTTACAATCACCAAATCATGCTGCTCTCTCCCCTCCTCTGCTCCACCCTCCTACTCCTGAGCCTTCCCCTGGAACAGATGTGGTAGATTCACATACAGTACGTATATTTAACACTTGTGGGAGACAGTAGGCATGGCATGTCTTGTTCTGTGTGTTCACGACTTGGCACAAGACAGATACTCAAACTTGTCTGGAAGATCAACACAGAAGGAGCCCAACCACATGTGAACTGTCTGTGCCTCAGCCCTGATTGGACGCCTTCCCTGCTTCTGTTGTCCAAATGAAGCCCATAATCGCCTCCCCTTCTTGCCAGCCTCCCCAGTCTCAGCTGGGCAGCCAGTCCAACATGGGAGGGCTGGCACTTAATGAGACCAGGGCTCCATATCTGACAGACCCACGCTCCATTTAATGCATAGAGCTCATATGATGAGCCCAATGTTATATGCATTTTAGAATTCCAAATTCAAATCCAGGAAATATTTACTGAATACCATGAGCAGAAACACAGTTCTCAAAGATTAGAAGAGAGAGAGGGAACAAGAGAAATTAAAGAGAAGATTCTGTGACTTCCAGGGGGTGGGTGGGAGGGTGGCAAATATGACCCGGGAATAAGGCTAGATCAGCTGGCTCCTCAAGGCTGACTCAGCCCTGGAAATGGTGTTTTCTGGACTCTAGACTGCCCTGCCAGGAGCTGTTGGTATGAAAGCTGAGATAGGTTTGCTGTGATTTGCACACTCACCTGCCTGGCCTGCCTCTTGCCCAGAAGGTGCATTTACACACCTGCTCTCTACATTTGAGAGGTGGCCTGTCTGTGGTCACAGGTCAGATGACACCATCTGGCACCGGTAGAACTGAATTCCAAGTCTTGGCCTCCTTGGAATTGTGCTCAGACAATGAAGCTCCAACTACAGAATGTGACCCCGGCCTCTCCTAAGACAAACTGAGGTGACCCAAGATTTCTGATTTGGATGGAAACCGCATTCATGAATGCTGTCTTTGCTCAGATTTGGTGGACCTCCAGTCCCAGTTACTAGCCAGTTCTGCATGTCCACTCAGGTTATTTTCACTTCAGCCTTAACCTTCATCTTTGTCACTTAGATTTATGTTTGATTTGTTAAGCCTTTCTCTCTTTGGCCAATGGTTGACTTGATTTTCTGGTAGGAGGAGTCCCTTTGTGACCCTTTGGCCCTGTTTGTCTGTTGTACTTAAGCTCCTGATGCCAGACTATGGCCTCAGCCTTAGACTTTGTATGTTGAGAAGGAACATTCTTAACCAAAGCTGTCATCAGTCCTGCCCCAGCTCAGCAGCAGCCCCTGTAATTTGATCCTCTTTCTAATGAGCCCCTCCTGGGTGCCCACATGCCTCTGTGAGCCAGGCCATCCTCCCTGCCAGCTTTGCCCAAAGCCAAGTTCACATTTGAAGCTTTTTGTTTGGGTCATCAAGAAAGGGACCTTTGGTGCATTCCCAATCTCTAAGATAAGTTTGCAAAGAGGCTGCTGGGCTCCTTCTCAGTCTAGATAGAGCCACCTGATCTGTCCTGTTTCTGTGTCTCCTTTGCCACCCTTCCACCCTCCTGGAAGTCACAGAATCTTCTCTTTCGTTTCCTTCTCTCTTCTCTCTCTTCTAATCTTTGAGGACTGTGTTTCTGCTCATGGTATTCAGTAAATATTTCTTGGATCTGAATTTGGAATTCTAAACAAATGATGATTTATGCACGGCGAGTGGAAAAGCATGCTGTTTTCACTCCTTTTAAAACCCAGTAATGACCTAGGGGAAGAACAGTACATCCATATCTGTATCTGCTCCTTTCTCTGTATCTGTGTCTCCTTCTCTATCTAAATCTGTATATCTACATCTATATGTGTATGCATAGGGATACAATGGTGTGAGTTTAGTAGCCTAGCACGACTTTGTCATGCCATTGTCTATTATTTATATTTGACTTGGTGGGAGACGACACTTACTTGCAATGCAAAGATGTAAAATTCCATCATACTCTTCAAAAAATATATATGTAAATTTAGGCCAACCCCTTCAAGTGAAATAAAAATATATAGCATTTATCTGTGTGCTATGGAGAAGCACATAGTCAATTCATGTCAGAATAATACCCACTGGGAAAATGAGACTCTAATTGAATGACCTTGGGCAAGTACCTCAAACTCTCAGGACCTCAGTTTCCTCATCAGCCAAAAAGAAGAAGAAGGAGGAGAAGGAGGAGGAGAAATAAGAAGAAAGAGAAGAAGAAGAAGAAAAAGAAGAAGAGGAGAAGGAGAAGAATTTAGATCAGATGATCTCTGAAGGGAGCCCAACTCCTGTGATCCAGAAGTTTATGATATTTGGCTGTCATAGTTTAATGAACAGTTTTTACTCAAAGTCTAGTCTTACAGAATCTTTTAATAATATTACAATTGCATGGAGAAGAACACAATCCTCCTGGGTCTGGGTTGCGCACCATTCAAGGTGTAGTTAAGAAAGCCATGCCAGGCAGTTGTGCAGAGAGAATTTAATAAAAGGAATTAGCTACAAAGAATTGGAAGCATGGCAAAGCCAAGGAGGAGACAGAGAAGGAACTCAAAGATTCGCAGCAGCAGGAAGTCATTATCATCCTTGGGCTGTAGGGACAAAGGAAGAGGTCGTTTTGTCAGAGCACAAGATCCAAGGCTTCTAGGGGGAGAAGGGGCGATGGACAGAGGGGCACTAAGGAGACATGGAACCATGTTAGGACATAACTACTGTCAGGAGTGCCCCTCAAAGGCTAAAGGGAGAGGGAAGTAGAAATGACATGGCTTGTTTTTTGCCTCTTTCCCACCATTTGATTCCAGAAGCTGAGGGAAGCCAGAGGGCAAGGGAGTCTGGGATGTGCCGTATGCAGTGGTCACACCCTCGGAATACAGAGCAGGCGAGGGGACATGCCTGGGCAGCCAGCTCCTCTGTGAGTCCCATCCTCACCTGACTTTCTAGTGCCTGGATGCCTGAGAAAGGGACTCCCATGTGGAAAGATGTTCCTTAGGCCTTTTCAACCCCTGTCACCTAACATTTGGATTGACCCGGTAAGCATCTTCTAGGTTCTCGTTTATAGCAAATTTGTGAGATTACCAATTAATAACTATAATTACTGAATACCTGATATGCTCAAAGCAGTTTATATACGATATCCCTTTCTATCCTCTGGCAACCCTGCTTGGAAGATATAAACCACTCATATTTTAAAGAAGGAGGTGGAGCAACATGCCCAAAGGCCACAGCTGGATGTGTAGGAGGTGGATGGGACACAGGAAATTCTGACTCCAAAGCTCTTTCTCCAATAGAGGCAAGGCCAAGCCAGGCAGAGTTCACCATTTGACAAGGAATGCTGTTTTGATTTCTGGAAGCAATGGCTTTGAAATGCCAGGAAGCAGTAGGAACAGCAAACACGCAGGGAGGGAGTAACCACGGGGCCCCAAACCTTCCGAGATGTGTCTGCCTGGAAAGCAGCTGCCACCCTGTCCACCCCTCCCATCCAGGGGCCTTCGAGCTTCCTGGAAGCTTGTTGGTATCATGTGCTTCTTGGCCCTTATAACCAGATTTCTCTATTTAGAGATCGCACTCGGCTGGTAAATGTGGTCGTGGAACACAGGATAATACAGATGCTATTGGGAAGAAGCTGAGTAAGGCCATTAAGGAGAGAAGAAAGGCTGGTGGCCGTGACGGTGGAGAGCTGGGGCACAGGCGGCTGCAGGCCAAGGTGAAGAGGAATGGAATGGAGATGGAATAGAGCAAAGAGGTAGATGTGAAAGAAGTGGATGAGCCCCAGGAGCTGATGGTCTGGGGGGTGAAGGCAGGGAGCAGGGGGATGTGATTAGGTCAGGAGGGCTCTGCCCTCACAAACCAATCAATGTTATCGCAGGAGTGGGTTAGTTATCAAAAATGGGCCACCTAGGCTCCCTGAGCCTCGGATCCTTTCTTTAATTGATTAATGGTGTTAATAATACTTATCTCGTGTTCCAGGTGAATGGAGAATGTCTGGAGCCCAGCAGAATTTGAGGTCTGATGGAGAGAAGCAGCTACAGAAGACCAGGCTGGCCACCAGCCCAACTTTCATTCACTATGTGAGGGGGTAGGAAAGCCACGTAACATGCCTTCCGGCCGTGGGTGACTGCTGGAGCAGCAGACGGTGGCCCAGGCCCCTGCAGCGACAGCAGCAGCATGCTCGGGGTGATCTGTCATGCTGCACAGGGTTATCACTGTAATTACATCAACAACAAGTCCTCTATTTGAAACAGGAGCTGGGTGTACAAGAGGCACCTCCCGCCAAAACAACAGGCACCTTGGCAGCACCTGCCACTGCTGCGGCTGCTGCTGGTGCCCTGGTGTCTTGGCATGGGCTGGCTTTGCTGGACCCTGGCCAGACAGAATGGGCAAAAAGGCCTCCACTCTGCTGACGGTGGGACGGTAGGTAGAGAGGCAAGCTTCCTTCAGTCACTGTCTAGAATTGTCACTCTCCTTCCTGACCAGAAAGAGAGAGAGACAAAAATAGACACAGAAGTTTGAGAAAAGGGTAATACATATATTCCAGAGGAACTGGCGAGGTGACAAACCCCAGAAACCCCTGGAAATGCACACCTAAGGAAGGAGGAGGCTGTATTTATATCTTGAGATTGTGATGTAAAGGAGAGAAGAAGATATTATCCATGATATATATATATATATATAATATTTACATAGACTATTATTTTTGTCTTCAATGATTAAATAACATCAGCAAGATGAAGTGGATTCTGAATGAGAGGTTGAGTAGGCTGGTGGCATTCCCAGGAAAGAGCCCAGGGAAGCACGGGGAGTTGAGGGCAGAGTGAGAGACCCCTTCATGCTTTCTCTGGGTGTGCCCATCAGAGGCCAAACACAGAGGGAAGGTAGAAGGGGACAGGATGGGCACAATGCTGAAGACACTAAGTGCACTAAGTGCAGCTAAGAAGAGCCAGCCCTGGATTACGAGTTATGAGACCTGGCATGGAACCTGGCCCCTATTACCAACTCACTGATAAGCAATCTGGGGCTCAAACTCTTTGAGTCCTGCTTTGCTCATCTACATCTCAAAATAATGCAATGTTCATTATCTATGTTATAAGGTAGATGTGAGAATTAAATGATACAGGGCATGCAGCCTATTTCTCAGTCTGCATACAAAGCTTATTAAATGTTTTAGAAGTATTATAAAACATATAAACATAGAAAACTGTGCTATTACCTAAGTTTCTTTCTACCAATTGAGTGCAATTCAATTCAGAAAGTTTCAACGTGTATTAGGGACCTAACATGTACAAAGAATTGTGCTTACTTATGTGGAACATGCCTGTTGAAAAGCTCCACATCTTTCCCTTAGGAGGCTTAATGATTTGTTGCAAGGGGGGAAAGAAACAAATATATTCACAGCTAACCAGGACACTGGGTGGCCCGTGGCACAATAGCCACATACACAAAAAGCTATGGGAGAGTTGAGGAAGAGCCGAATCCAAGCTGGCGGGATGAGAAAAGCTGGAGGGATGAGAAAAGCTGGATGGATAGCTTTGAAACAAACTCTGAACTAGCTTTGAAAAGGCTGGGCACGGTGGCTCATGCCTATAATCCTAGTACTCAGGGAGGCCGAGGCTCAGGAGTTCGAGATCAGCCTGAGCAAGAGCAAGACCCCGTCTCTACTAAAAATAGAAAGAAATTAATTGGCCAACTAAAAATATATAGAAAAAAATTAGCCGGGCATGGTGGCACATACCTGCAGTCCCAGCTACTCGGGAGGCCGAGGCAGGAGGATTGCCTGAACCCAGGAGTTTGAGGTTGCTGTGAGCCAGGCTGACGCCACGGCACTCTAGCCCAGGCAATACAGTGAGACTCTGTCTCAAAAAAAAAAGAAAGAAAGAAAATTGAGAGAAGTGCTGGGCTTCTGGCTGGAAAGAATTTCCGGAAGTGGGAAGGGTAGAAGCCACGGCAAGAGGACAGGTAAAGTAGGCCTCTATTGTGGACTTTGAGTACTGCATCTTCTGGGGCACAGGAAGATGGGAAGCGCCATTTCCGGGATCTCCGCCCCTCACTTCCTTCCTGATCTGGATGTACACCAGCGGCACGCGCTTTCCTCTGAGATGTATAAGGCATTTGAGACCTGACCCTGGTGATTTAGATTCTAGCTGAGTCCCTAGATCTGGGTTTTGAATTCTGTTTCTGCTTCTTGCAGACTGTCTAACGCCGAGCCTGTGTTTCCATTACTGTTGCACATACGTCACAGCATTCGTTGTAATTATTAAATTACACAAAACACGAACGCACATTAAACATCGTGCATACATCTTACCTTTGTTCCTGTATTCTGTGGATTCTTTAATGGAGGTGGTGGGAAGGGGGAAATTTTCCTTTATATCTTAGTTGACAAGATCAAAAACGAGAATGTGAGAAACTCTCATAGAATACACTGAACCAGTAGTGAAGCTGGACCCTGCCATTATCGGGGAAGTATCCGGGAGCTATCTATTGCTCACTCAGGAGTTTTCTGTGCTGTATGTTGGAGGTTATACCTCTTGGTTTATAGAGAAACACTTTAGAATGTGCAATTATTTGGGAAATTAATTTTGAGCAGTTGAACTTGTTGCCAAAGACAATACAAATGGGGAGGTAGTTATGGTTTTCCTCCTGTGATGTTTTGGGGGCAATTTACAATAGATGCACAATTTTATTTTTTTTAAAAAAGGAGTAGTTGCTTTTTTCTCACCCACAAACTCTGCCTAGGTAGCAAAAAGTAACTCGGGTCCAATGTGCAAACGCTGCAGATACCTTGCTCTAGAATTCTACACACATCAAGCTCATCTCGTGAAATTGCCTTACCAGCTTTGAGAGAGAGAATAAAGAGTATCCCAAACTGGTTCCTGGATCTCATCCAAAATATTTCAAATATTTGATATGACATAATATGAGTGGGGTGTTTTATTCCCCCAGGGCTTGGAGGAAGGAAATTCCTGACCGCATAATTATATTCTGACCTCCTGAAATTTACCCTGCTCTGCACTTTGCAAGGGTAATGCTATTCTTTTTTCTTCTGAGTGGGGGCCTTGTGCTGGATGGAAGGACACTTTTCATTTTATCCACCTACTCCTTGGCTAAAGTGGCTGCTTTCTATACCAACAACGTCAGTCCCCTGCATTGTGTAAGGGTTTAGGACATCTGCTGTGTCTGATGTTAGGTGTGCTCTGAACTTAACTGAATTGCATTGGAGCAAATCAACAACGCCCTGCTGATATAAAAGCAGCCTCGCATGCCCGAAACAGGCAGGGAATCAGGACCCAAATGTACATGTTGACAGCGCAACTTGTCCAGATGTAACAATTGCAATTTCTAAAGTCAAGTACCAACTGGTCTGGAAAAAAAGAGAGGTGGAATTCAGTAAAATAAAACGTTAGCTGTGCTTGCATTTGAGTGAATGCATCTTGTTTTTAAAATAACTGCACAGTTGGATTTGAATTTTTTTTTTTTTGTGATTGGTTTTGTTTACATTTGTTTTTTTTTTCCCAAGTAGTGTTTTCAAAAGATAATTTATGTCTGTGATCACATCCTTAACAAAACTAGCGAGTCACCCACTTAAAATAAATATTTCAAAAATAGGTAAAGTGAAAAATAGGCTGTGTTCATTACTACCTTAGATAATGTCATGGAATAACACTGGTGACCTCCTTAAGACAAAGTTATCTGCTCCAGATCGTAAAAGATTTCCCAGCATCAGAGAAAGCACACACAAGCCGAACTCCAGCTATAGCTCTTTGATCCACAGATTCTTCAATACGAGGGACTTTTTATTTTTCAGAAGATCGTCTTTTCCAATATTGTTCTTAAGTTTGTAGTATGTTCGTAAATGTAAGGTATTTTAAGAATAAAGTTGTATTTATAGATTAAACCTTTGATTTGCCATATTTCTATTCCTTCTGTTTCTTCAATTGAAAAACTACCCGTGCAGACTTTTAAACACACATATAAATATCAAATCTGTCGTGCATTTTTAAACTGTGCATATTCTACAACTTAATTTTTTCACCTAATGAGATAATTGTAGGAGAGCATCCCATGACAAAACATATAAGGCTTACTTCCTCTGGAAAAAAAAACACATTGAATTCCATGGTACAAAGATGCCATGGCAGATCAAGTCATTTTCTTATTGAAGGACATTTGTGATGTTTTAAACTTTTTTCTACTATAATTATACAATGAAAATCTTTTAATGTGCCATTTTGCATCTGTGACAAGTACTTTTCTAGGATAGGTACCTAGAAGTGAAATTTCTGGGTTGAAGGATATGCATATTTTAAATTTTAATAGAAACTGCCAAACTTATCTCTAAAATTGTTGTAACAATTTATATGCCCATCAACAGTATTTAAGAACTTGTTTCTGTACACCTGAGCCAACGTTTTCTATTATTACTAATTTAATATTTTATAAACTGTTTAGCAAAAGTGATATCTCATTGTTCTTTTATTAATAATTTGCTTTTTAATTGAGTTACTGAGCAACTTTGTATCTGTCCTGATCTCTTTAAACTTACTTTTTAAATTATATTTTATTTAAATAAACCAGTGTGTGCCTATAGTACAAAAAGCCAGGGAGTGCTCAAAGTGCTATAATGAAAAAAAAATATCAACCCTCTTATTTCCTTTTTTACATTGTTTCTTTTCCCAAAGACAAAATCTTTCAAATTATGATTGTTTTTCCCTCTATATTTCTAAATAATATTTATGCATTGCTATCTTTTGATTCTTCATGTTTTTCTGCATTACCCAATGACTTCTGAGGCAAAAACTGCAAGTATTCTAGCCAAAATACATGCTTCCATTCTTGCCTACTACTAATAGTCTTCTATATACTATTAATAGGTAATGAAAATGTTTCTAGCCAAAGAACTGGGTTCTACCACCTCCCTTATAGATAAGGGTGGTTGATGATCTGTTAAGCAGAAGTTATTTGAAAGGAAAAGATCTTTAAAAGAAACGGACTCAACTGGCATATAAGTGAATTTTGGCTTTCCCCCCATTCCTCCTTCTTCCAGCTTGAAACACAGCTATAATGGCTAGAGATTGAGCAGTAGTTACCCTGTGACCATGAGACAAACCAAGAAATTGAATTGTCATATTAAAGATGATGGCACAGAAAAACAGAAGAAGCCTGAACCCTTGTTTTCCATGGAACTTCTCC